GGATTTGTGCACCCCTATGTTCACTGCAGCATTATTTGCACTGGTCAGAATATGGAGGCAACCCAAGTGCCCATCAACAGACAAATGAATGGAGAAGTGGTGGTACATACATACAATGGAATATTACTCGGCCATAAAAAATGAATGAACTCTTACCATTTGTGACAACATGAATGAAACTGGAGGGTACTGTGCTGGGTGCGGTGCATCGGACAAGGAAAGACAAATACTATGTGATTTTGCTTATCTGTGGAATCTAAAGAATAAACGAAAAAACAAAATAGAAAAAGACTCATAGATGCAGAAAAATTGATAGTTGCTAGATAGGATGGGGGCTTGGGGGCTGGGTGAAAAAGGTAAAGGGATTAAGAAGTACAAATTGGTAGTTATGGAATAGTCCTGGGGATGTAAAGTACAGCGTACAGAATATAGTCAATAATATTGTAATAGCTATGCATGGTGCCAGGTGGGTATTTGAAGTATGATGGGGGAGGGAAATCACTTTGTAAATATATATCTATCTAACCACTATGCTGTATTCCTGAAGCTAATATAAAATAATATTGAATGTCAATTATAAGTGAAAAATAAAATTTTAAATTAATTTTTTAAAGAGTGCATGCATTCTGTGAACCTGCATGGACTCACTCTCTTTTTACTGTAGTAACAGACACTACCATCCATTTCTCCTAAAGAACTGACATGTGTGATGCTGAAAGAAACTAGAAGTACATGGTCTGGCCTCCCCAGCCTCAAAAATTAGCAGGTGAACTAAGCTGTCCAACAAGATTAGACCACACTCCTGGAATGAATAGTTCATCTGAGATGGGCTTGGGATTCAAGCAGGGCCAATCAGAGCCTTTTCTGAAACTTTGGTCTGTGCTCCTACAAGCAAAAGCTGTGAGGATAAGTGGCTTTCACAGGAAAGAGCCTGCCTGAGAAGGATATCAAATGAGCCAAGAATATCAGTGAGAAAAGCAAGAGAAAGTCTTGACAAAATCATTTACTCTGTACTGACTTTTCCGTCTCATGAGTCAAGAGACTCCTGCCCGCCTCCCCACACCCCAATTCTGAAAAATATATTAGAAAGAGAGCAAGCAGACAGCTTGGGGGGGCGGGGGGGGCGGGGTGAAGAGATTGAGCAAAAAAAAAGATTTAAAAAAGAGAAAACTCATGGACATCAATAACAGTGTGATGTGATTGGAGGGGAGGGTGGAAGAGAGTATAGAGAGCATAAATGATGATGATGATGGAAAAAATAAAATAAATTTTAAAAAATAAAAAGACAAAATTCTTATCCAGATTAACAACTGTCCAAAAAAAAAAAAAAAATTAAGGCTGATTTCCACAAAAAAATAAATACATAAAATCACCTTAAAAAAAAGAAAAAGAAAAAAAATGGTTAACAGAATTTTATAATTATCCCCAAGTGCAGAAACAAAGCTGACACCTAGTGCTGCCACCATTACAAGGAAACATGTGCATCACATGCCACACCAGGGGCAAAAAAAACACCATATTTTACCCTGAGATAAAACAGACCAAAACTAGGTCACTTTGTTTAGTTGTAGCACCCAAAATAAATAAAACTTTTCGCCTTTTCTATAAGTCGCTGACTCCCTAACAAATATCTTGCTAACATTAAAAGATGCCTCCTCTTGATGAATACTTGCCCATTACCATCAATCAACATTCTTTTGAGCTCAAATCTCAAGCACTGAATCTGTGCATGTGTTTGTATACAGCCATATGGATGTACCTCAAGGTATGTAAAAAGCGAGCTCTAAGCAATTCTTTGAAAACAAAGCATACACAAAAAGTTAGCCCACTGCTATGAAACCACGCCAGTTCTAGCACTAGCCTGTGACATTATTTGCATCTAAAGCAACTTCCTACCCATAGCCACAACCATATCCCTGTAGTTCTTCAGACTCACCACGTCCCTCCCACATCGGGTCCTCCCCATCCTGCTCCCTCTTCCAGAAATGCTCTCTCCTTGCTCTTGCCTAGGTTTTATACAGCTCTGAAGCCTCCCCAGACTAAGTCAGATCCCCATAAAACTCAGACTTCTCTGCTCCAGCACTAATCACAGTTGGAAATAATAATTCTTTTTCTTTTTTTTTTGATTGACTATCTTTTCCTATAAAGCCTAGACCAGTGGTCCTTATATTGCTGAGCTCCTAGACCAGTAGAATCACAATTATTTGGGAACTCCTTAGAAATGTAAATTCTCAGACCCAGCCCTAGATCTACTGAAGTAGAATATTTGAGACAGAAACCTCTAGGTGACTAAATTTTGAGGACAACTGCTCTACTCTGTGCAGACATTTATGTTTTTCTCTGCCTATGCTAAGCTCTGCCCTCACCACCCAGCACATTGCATATAACCAGCGCTCAGTAAAATCACTGAGTAAGTGAAATAATGAGTAGGCATTCCACATTTTTCATTATGTTGATGAGAGTCTCTCAATCAGGATTAGAATACTTCCAGTTTACAGTTAAGATTTTCCAGGAAAACGATCCTTATAGGAAGGAAGCAATCAAATATCTAAGCTTCAAGATGAACACAGAAACTCGTAACATTTCTGTGTCATATAAATTATAATGTTCAAAGTCTGTATATCACAACAGCCCCTTCCCTGGATGATCCTTTCTAAGCTAGGGGAAAATAAGATCAAAGAGAGTATGACTGAACAAAAAGAGCCAAAACACAGTCCTTGAACAACCTGGGAAACATCACTAAACCACCAGCAAATCACCAGGGTATTTCAAACAGGAATAAAACACTGTATTACCCTGGCCAGGTGGCCCACTTGATTGGCGCATCCTCCCATACACTAAAAGGCTGCAGGGTCAATTCTGGTCAGGGCATATACCTAGGCTGTGGGTTCTGTCCCCAGTGGGGGCACATATGGGAGGCAACTGGTGAATGTTTCCCTCTCTCTCTCAAATCAATAAACATATCCTTGAGTGAGGATTTAAAAAAAAAAAAGAGCAAAATACTTTTAAATAAGGTGAAGCCAGAAAAAAATGAAAATGTTGCAGCCAACAAAATCAGAAAACATTCAAATTCACATGCTAATCTTTTCACTATATGTTATTGAATTAAGTTTCCATTGCTTCTGTTTATTACTTAAGCTAGAAACATTTTTCTTGAAGTAAGTCACAAATGACTTTTTAAAGGATCACTGAGTTTATGGAATGCTAGTCCATTGTTTTGTTCTATACTGAGAACATGTCCAGATCAACAGAAAAACATGATTCGTGTATATGTGTACACAGCACACCTGTGGGTGAACACATGGGCACATATATGAGTGTATATGTATAAGTATGTGACTGTGTGTGTATTCTGTGCATTCTACACTTAATATATGGCCTTACTTCCTTTAAGCCTAGGTCAAGTAGATTTTGTCACATCACTCATTGACATAATATATGACTTCTGAATATTTTTATTGTAGAGAAAAACAAGATTCATTTGTATTTTAGATCTCACTCATTTAAGCTTCAGTAATGCTGAACTAATGATTATTATATAGAATAAACTAAATTTAATTAGCTTTACTTATTAATAAGGCAAGTTTAACTAAGAAAAGCTTAACGAAAGAAACATTATTCTGAATTACTTTCAACCCACTTTAGTGGCTCTCTCTATATATTTTCTAAATAAAAGTCTTTCTTTCTTGGCCATCAGTGTAGGGCCATCAAGATCTTATTTCATAACTCCTTGTCATCTAAGAGCTGTTCATTTGAATTACTGTTCTTATTAAAATAATAGAAGTACCTCTAATCACTGAAATTTCCTACCAATTTAAACTGGCCTTCCTTCAAATTATTCCAAGTTAGTAAGCATTTGCTCTACTGTAAATACTAGAATGGACTTGGTCTTAAGAATTCAAAAGTAAATTCCTTAAAAAAAAAACTTAAGGACTAAAGGTAAGAACAATAACCATATAAGTATAAAAGTTATAGATTAGGACCTCAAGATTAAAAAATTAAGAAAATAAAGCAATCCTGACATCTACGTGTATTTTCCAAACTAGGTCAAGAAATTAAATGTCATGATTTAGAAGATGCAAACATACAGAAAGAATGCTGCATCGTAGCCACTTTCATCTCCGCTTCTCCTACTGAATAGGCTAGTATAGGCGGGCACTTTTTAATTAAGAGAATGGCAGGTCAGCTGCAGGGTTCCTGTGTGCATTTTTCCTCTGGCTCCTTGTCGTTTATATGGTAATTACTTTGCATTTTCTAAATGCAATTACACAGTAATCTGCGAGGACTAAATTAGCCAATGGCTGCCCGGCTTTTTGATTGACAAAACCTACTGAGAAACCAAATAATTAAAGAGAAGTTACAGGATACAACAGGTCCCCAAATAAAGTTGTTTCATTCAACATCCTTTGTGGTTTCATTATAACACTGTTGACATACTACAGGAGCTTAACTCTGGTTTTTATCAATTAGCCTAGAGTAAAACTGGTTTTGTTATACAGCAATTCACTTCAAGTCTCAAAACCTATCATAATGTTAAGTAAGGACTTACTGTATTTCCATCCTGTGGTCACAGGACACATTTTAAGGATGTGCTTCTCCTGATATTATTATTTCAAAGCATATAACTATTAAAAATAGCAGTAATTTATTGAGCACTCAATGTGTGCCAGGCACTGTGCCTAAGATCCTTGCATTGACTATCTCATATTCTCATAGCAGTCTTATGAAACAAGTCCAGATATTATCCCTAATTCGCTAATGAAAAAACTGAGACTTAGAGACAGTAAATAACTTGCCCACAGCACTAATTAGTGGATTGGAAAATCAAAGCCAGGAAGGCGGGCTTCAGAATATCAATTATTAAATTTCCTCTGTACGACTTTACAGACATATGTTATAAATCAGCTCATTCACCTCTCTCATCAACAAACTAGAGTCTGCTCAAATTGGGAAGACAGCTGAATAAATATGAAATGGAATTCACCGAACACCACCAATACCTTTCCATCTTCATCACATGGAGTGTGGATCTGAAAATAGTCTTTTGTGGTACAGGGAGGGCGCTCCATACACTCACTGGATCCTTCCTCTACAACACAAAAATGCATCTCAGAAATGAGTCAATTCCTTTGTGACTGTAAGAAAGGGCAAAAACCAAACCAAAACCAAAAAAAGACAACTAAAAAGAAAAAATAACCTTAGCAGGGGAATTTAGGTAGAACTAGCTAGGCCTAAAGAAGATAAAGGCTTACATTTTTATTTTCACTAGCGCAGTGTTTCCATGACACATCTGGGACATATCATAGTTTTCCCAAGAAGACATTAGATTTATTCTATTATCATTAAAATTGTAAGTTTGGAGCAAATTAAAAGTTTCTAAATATATCTCTATGTCCACAAATCATCTAAAAATACAACAGAAATTTAGATCAGTATAAACACATCTAAAACAGTTACCTGTGGGGTATAAAGCTGAAAACATTACAGAGAAAAGGAAAAGTCATGCAGAATGGGATAAAAGAAGTAAATTTTATCCGTGTAATGCTGATTCACTTCAGCACTTTGGTGTCTGGCCCACTGTTCCTGTCCCACTTATGTGTGACTTCTGGCTTAGGACGATATACTCGACAAATGTAAATTTTAAAAGGAAAGGACAAACAGTATAACTGGCAAAGATTAGACCTACCTGAAAATTGGGAGTCCTCTGCACACTTTATGCATTCCTTGGCTCCCTTCTCAGAGTAGGTGTTTCTGGGACACACCTGACAGTTGAACGAACCTGGCTTGTTGCTGAAGGTGCCTGGCTTGCACGGGAAGCACTCTGATGTGTAAGCCACTCCTGTGGGGTAATGACAGACAGAGTGTGGGAGGGACGACCCAGCAGCAATAACAAACCAGAGCCTTCTTGCAGCTTCTACCAGAAGTGAGAGAGAATTACTGACAGTAAGCTCAGCCTAAATCCTTTATCTCATTAATTCAACACCAAGAAAGTGTTTGCTACATGCAAGGAACTGGGATAGATACCGAATCAAACACAGTAAGCAGAGCAAACACTTAAGCAAGAGATTGACATTTGTTGGAGGTATAGTAAATGCATAAACTCAGTTGTCAAAAGACAACTCCACAAACGCAGAAGTGGGATAAACTCTAAGGTCGCTTCCAATTCTATAAGCTACCATTCCCTGATCTCTGCGGCTACCTGTTTGTTCCCAGTTTATCTGCTGTTCACTAAGTCACAAGCAAGACAGACCCCAGAAAGGGCTTTTCTTCTGGTTTGTAATTCCAGCCTTTGCCAGCAGGTGTTCCTAAGACTAATGAGTTAGCATCACAGGAACAAGTATACTTCAAAAATATTAAAACACAAGCCAAACTTTGCCAAGCCAGTGTTGCTCAGTGGTTAATCATCGACCGATGAACCAGGAGGTCACGGTTCAATCAGGGCACATGCCCAGGTTGCGGGCTCGATCCCCAGTAGGGGGTGTGCAGGAGGCGGCCGATCAATGATTCTCTCTCATCATTGATGTTTCTATCTCTCTCTCCCATCCTTGCTCTGTAATCAATAAAAACATAAAACACACACACACACAAGCCAAACTTTAATAAAGGATTATAACTAGCCCTGAGAATGAACCAGGCCAGGCTTTACTGACCACTCTCCTGGGCCACAAAGGCCCAGCTGGTTCAGAAGAAACACAAGAGGTTTGGGAGACAGTCAGGTGGAGATGTTTATTTTACTGTTATTTTTATGGATATAGCAGTGGCCTGAGTAAGCTCAATGACTGACAATAGACATTTCTCAAATGTATGATAGGCTCTTATTAACAGAGACATTTTTCTTTTATTTAAAGATGCCTAAAACTGCCATCATGTTTATTTTTTCACACAGATTAAATAATTCAGTTTAAGGGTACAAAAAACAAACAAAAAGCAGTCAACTTGCCAGGAATAAAACCAGGACCTCTAGACCTGTATGATACCAAGCACATTAATTCCTGTTCCATAAACCCTTAAGCCATAAGCCAGCCAAACCAACAATTCAATCAATATTTTAACTAAATATAAAATATGATAGGTGATTACTAAAACAGACTGCTGTGAAATACCTTCAATTGTGATATTTTTTACCAACACTGGCTTGACTGCCTTAGAACCCATAAGGATGCCTGTAGTTCTCCAGTATAATATGTTTGTGCCGGATTTTAGCATTACCTGTAAAGAAAAACGCAGGACACTCATGTCAGAAAAGCCATGTTACATCCAACCATACCTGAAAGCTAATCTCTCATACATTTTTCTTTGCATTATAATGAGACACCATTAATTTGGAATCCACAAATTTGTCTACTGTTAATTCAGATCTAAGCTCTGCTGAAGTTCAAATTTTCTTAAAAGAAACGAAAATTAAAAAATTACTTTGCCAATCCAAAAATATATAGTAATAAAGAAGAAAAAGAAAATTCGTCAAGTCTAAAGAAAAAGGTACAATAATTTTGAAACCATTCGTGTGAAGGCTTGGTTTATATTTAAGAGATTCATTTTAGAGAGTGAAAGGCACTCAACCCAATTACATATTTATTGGATGCCACTATTCATTAGACTTTGAGCTCTGAGAACAAAAAGGCAACAGAATGAGTTTGCTTCTTTTTGAACTTATTTAATAAACAATACTGCAACAGCAACAAGAGAAAATAGGATTGTTCTTATAGAATAACCTAATTTAAGTCTGTAACTCTAGAACTTAAATAATACTATATCTATTCAAGTAAATAAATTCAAGCTGTATAAACTTAAAACATATCCAACCACTTCTCTTGCCTGAGATTCAGAGAAGCTACGCATTAAGCACTTTTGTCTTGTATGAAGTCTTTATAAGTAAAGAAAGCATATTTCTTGTCAAGGGTTAGAAATATTCAAAGTCCAGCAGATTGAATGCTTAGGCAAAGAGATCTTAAGTGGTAGGAATGTCACTTCCAGGCATAGAGATCAAAAAATACTCGGGAAGGTACACTGTATTAATCACTCCAAGATGGAGCACCTGGATGGTCACTTACTGAAATAGAGCTCAATCTACATTGCGGGCACCGCATAGGCCCTTCCCATGTATCACCTCATTTAACCCTATAGTGGTCTTACTTCTTACATGAAAAAAACAAACTCAAAGAGATTAAGCCAGGTGCCTAAAGAAACACAGCCACTGTAAGGCAGAATTTTATTTTAAATACATGTGTCACCCAAAAGGCATAGTCCTCAAATAATAGCAGATGCACTGACTGTGTTACCTGATATTTGCCTTCGGGCATTTACAGTTACTGTGTAGAGAATTAGGCAGTTACTTTACTCAATGGGAAGGCATTTTTCAAAGGGCATAAAACTTTGACCAACTGGTCAAATAGATAGATAGGAAGTAGGTTCCAAATATGGTTAAATTTTGCAGTAATCAGAGCTACCTAACAATAGAGTCAGCACAGTGCCCAACAAGACAAACTTGAAAAATCACCTATTGGGGAGACTGCAGAGAAAGCTGGATGAAAGGAACTCAAGGATCCTTCCAATGCCAAGAGCCATGGATTCTCCCCCATGTTACAGGCACATCTGTAAGCTTACATTCGCAGAGGTTTTGTATATTAGTTTGATTAGCCTTATTTCTTGTTAATGTTCCCTTTGAAAAGGAGGAATGTTGGAGTATGATGGGGAAGAGAAAGGAAAGAGCCTACGGATAAAGAGAAAGGTCAGGAAAAATACCTAGAAAGAAACTGAGTCCATGAAACCTCATCTCTAACTGGAAATTGTCTAAATTAATAAACAATTTTGAAATCTTTTCTCTCTTAAAATAAACTTTTAAGAAAGGTTGGAAAAGGGAAGGAGAAGCGTGGGGTTGTTGGTAGGACAGAAGAACAAAGGGAGGCTTACAGAATGAGAGCCCCATTCTCCATTGTCTGTGAGTCGGACCCACTTGTCCATGGTGGTATCCATCTCCTGGCACTGATCGTTTTGAATCTGTGGAATAAACACAACAGCCCCAGTATATCTTCTTGAATAATGGTTTTAATTAAACGTGTTACCCAGCACAGGACAGGCTGCAAGAACTTCTTTCAATACATACATTAAACAATGTCCATGAATAATTCTCAAGTAAACACATCAAGACCTCTGAAGCCTAAGTGACAACTGCATATGCGTGAGTAGTTCTTGGTAAGCCATTGTCATTAACTTAAAAGGCTAGCTCGCTAAGAAGTAGTGAGGGGAGTGGAGAAGGGAAAGGAGAGAGCAGTTAATACTGAAAATTCACATAAAGAAAAAAAGTCATTGCAAAAATCTTACAAAATTGTTTTGAAAGCTTGCATTCACCATGCAGGCCCAATGGTATAAAAATACAGTTTATTTTTACAATATTTGGGGCAGTAAACTCTTAAATCAATCAATAAACAAAGTCTGCTTTGGTTTCAATTCCCCAGGACTTAATTCAAATGTATAGGTAAGTGGCTACAGTCAAAGTCCCAAATTTTTATTTGGGGTAAATGTTAATCATTTGCCACACCAATTCAAATGACTACAGCTAATATATTTAGCACCAAACACTTTGTACTTTCCAGAAAGTTCCTCCAAAAGGCCTAGGGTTTGGGACACTATTTTTCCAGGCCTATGAAGACAGAAACACCAGAAGTTAGGCCATCTTTATAGTATTGCACAACAGTCAGCAACAGAGTAGGGTTAAAATAGGTTCTCATCACCTATTCTACTTCTACCCAAATGGCTATTTCTTTCTTTTCTAAATCATTTTAGCACTTCACACCTCCTCTTGACCAGTCTGCAAACAACAGAACATGTTCTCCATCACAGAAGTTTACTAAAGACCTACTAACTAGAAAATAGGTCCTTTCGCCATCCAAATACCAGAGAATTTCCACTACTGAGGAGACTGGCTTTACCTGAATTTAAGTATCCTACTTATAAGCATAATGGTGATTTTAATGTAAGTGTTAAGCCATTCTAAAACAGATATGGACCCTGAATATACCTTTGGTGGTCAGTGTTTGGATAAGCTGAGTNTAAGTGTTAAGCCATTCTAAAACAGATATGGACCCTGAATATACCTTTGGTGGTCAGTGTTTGGATAAGCTGACAGCNCTGAGTCTTTTTTCAGCCAGAATCAGACATCACGTGTCATCATGACTGACATTCTAGAGATCTGAGTTCTGTTACTCATTCTGAAGGTAACTAGCAATGGTATAACCTTGGTCCAATCGCTTATTCTTTCTAGGTTTCAGTTTCACTATTTTAAAAGGGGGTGGGGCTACATGAAAGTCCTACACAGTTCTAAAATTGAATACTTTAGCCCTGGCCAGTGTGGCTCAGTGGGTTGAGTATCATCCTATGCACCTAGAGGTCACCGGTTCTATTCCCAGTCAGGGTACATGCCTGGGTTTTGGGCTCAATCCCTGGTGGGGGGCTTGCAGGAGGCAGCTGATCTATGTTTTCCTCTCTCTCCTTCTCCCTTCTTCTCTCTCTAAAATCAATAAAAGCATTTTAAAAAAAATAAAATTAAACACTTTATTGCTTCAAAGTATGTCATGTCCACAGGTACAACTGCATCTTTCAGTTCTCAGACATTTATTTCCTTTCCACTAACCCTTAGCAGGATGACCATGAGGCATTGACCCTCTGAGTCAATAAATTGCAAACTATGAAGCTGAAATATCAATGAAAGGAGGAACATGAACTTGCCATCCCTTTCCAGTCTATAACCAGAACAAAAAGGGCATTATTGAAAGGAAGTAATGAAACATCCTGCCTCTGAAGGACCTTTTATTGACAACTCTCAAAGCACTTGCCGGGCAATGTAAAACTAAATGCTTATTCAAACAATTATATAATTACCCTGCTTCTTAACTTTAGTTTCATTTTAGTAATATTGCAAAACTGTCCCAGAAAATAGGTAATCATTCACTCTGAGAAGTGTTTTGCAAACAAAATGCAGCTTAAAAGGCAAATCTGTTTGAATGTTGCCTAACAACTCAAACTCATCAGAGGATATTAGAGCTAGGAAGGCTCCTTAAAAGGTCTTGTCACACAATCCACTTTACAAAGGGGAATGCTGAGGGCTGAAAAGTTATCTTAAATGTCCCAAAACACACAGCTAGCAATTGCAGAGATGGGACTAGAGCCAGAATCTCTTGACTTCAAATCTAAGGTTCATAGTTTAATAAAAAATATCTCTTCCTACCAAACTTTTGACTTAGAAATTTCCATTATCAAGAGCAATATAACTTGTTTTAAAATTGCTAGTACACTTCCTCCTGAAATCTGTGTCACAGAAACATTTTACAAGATATTTTGCCTGTTACTTGCACAACACACACTTTTTTAGTATGAGAAGTTAATCGGAAAACATTTTCTTAAACATTTTGTCACAGCCACAAAAATATTCACTAGATTAGCTAGTTTATATAAAATAGTTAAATAATTTTAGAGGTAACAGCCTATTCTGTTAGACTATTATTTTATTTTTTATTCTATAATGCTATTTAATCTCTTTCCAGAAGCATCGACTATCCTACCCATTAAGTCCTTTAGATTGTACAAAACTGACAGAATCAGAAACACACAGCACTTCTACTTTTGAAATTTTGCCCATGAATACAGTTAAATAATTCAAATATTTAAAATTGCAGAGAGAAACAAAACCTTTTTAAAGAAAAATTCAACTGGTGAAGGCATTTTTAACAAAACAGCACCTGTAGCTACAAAAATGACAATTTAAAATGAATCTTGGAGAAAATATTTGTCCCACAAAAAGTCTAAGTTGTCTTTTAGTATCAAAAGTTTCAGTTAACACACACAAAAACTGAGGAGGCATAAGTGTAATGGAAACCACAGATTAAGGTAAATTTTACATGAACGTCCCTTAAAAAGTAAATTTCAGAATATAAAAGGCCTTACAAAGAACTCAAAGAAGATGTTGTTGTCGACGTACTGGTACTCAAAGAAGACATTACCCGACTTCTTAAGGTGCACGGCATAGATCAAAGATACGGTGCAGTCGTCACGATTGGACTCTATGTAATTTCCACGAGGGATCCAAGAGGAGCTGTGGAAACAAAACCAAGAGGCATTTTATGTCAGATTTCAGAAGCCTCTTCTCTTTACAAGTTATGTAACTCAGGTTCAACAGTAGTTCCATCCGCAGGGCACAGCAGGGAAGACCAGGAGCTTTTCTGGAACTCAAAAGCCAACACCATTACCGGGAAAAGATTCATTTCTTATGGTACATGACTTCCTAAACCTTGGTGAGATCAATTTGCTATGAAACTGCTATTTTTCACCAAAAATTTGATCACTAATTCTGCTAGTCTTGGGTGGAATTATTCTGTCAAACAACATCTGAAATTTTTTTTATTAACACATACACATGGCAAGGGCTGAAAGTTTCCTCCATATGAGAGAAGAAACAGTCCTAGAAAAAAAACATTTAAAATGAGCGTAAATACAATATGGATCACAGTTTTATAGTATATAATGAGGTAAAAGTCTGGAATTGTTATCTAAAAAACAAGACGAAAAATTAAGACAATACACTGGTGAACGAAATTTGGGTTATACATCTAACCATAAGTTAATTCTTAGAATTAACCAATAACGTGGAGTGTTGAATTTGGGAGCAAAAAAAATTCCATCCAAACTCTATGATAGCACAACTTACAATCTTATCTTCAGAATTAACTTTTTATTTAGATAATAAGAGTAAGATTTTGGCAAATTGTTTTCTTATTTTCTAACAAAAATAATCTGTATGAAAGTCTGAGACTTCTACCTCTCAAAACTGGTACTGGATTTGCCCTTTCTCTTTAACCATCCATTAAACTAAACAAAATATATGAGCCATTTTCAGGCACTGACAACAGACAGTGCAGGACTGAGATTCCTGAGAGTGGCAAAACATGAGATAAAGCCCAAATTGACCTTGGCCTCATTCCTCAGGACACTTCCCAAACCATGACACCAGGAAATGGCACACAAGCACAGCACAGTGGTATCACTGAGCTGGGGAGCAGACATAAGTGGTTGGGGCAGCTGAAAAAGCTGGAATTTATAGACATGAGAATCAGAGAAAATAGGGGCTCTAGAAATTTGTATGGAGTTTCTCTGTAGGTCCTGAGCTTGGGGCTGGAGTGTGCAGTCCTAACAGCCACTGCAAAGCTGAGACATAACCAGAGCGGTCACTTTAATGGGAGTCATTGGAACCCCAAACCAGCCAGGGAAGAAAAACCTTGATAAACTTATTGGGCATCCACTTCAGATTCCAGAACTGACACACCTTATAGAGGCCATGCCCTAGGGCAAGTATCAGCAAACTTTTTCATAAAGGGCCAAGAGTAAATATTTTTGGCTTTCAGGCAATCTGGTCTCTCTTGGGATATTTAATTAACTCTGCCACTGTAACTCCAAAGCAGCTGTAGACAATGCATAAATAAATGAGTGCTGTTGTGTTCCAATACAACTTTATTTGCAAAACCGGGGGAGAGCTCACAGGTAAAGGTAAATAAAGATTTTATATAAACAAAAGATGAAAGAATATTTGAGTAAGCAGATCTGCAAAAATAATACAAGAAATTTTATAGGCTGAAAAACAATGCTAGATAAACATCCAGATCTATATACAAAATGAGGGAAGGTATGGGGGGAAGAAAGGGAGGGAGGGAGAAAGATCTCTTTTAGCACAGCTAGATAAGTCCCGGCATCCTTAGCTCATGGTAAAACACTTGACTTCCTAAAAAAACCACTGTTGTCAGAAGGTAGCCAGAGGCCTAAAATTTAATAACATAACCATGTGAAAGGAAATGTCAAACAGTTAATGCAAGAGAATGGAAAGGGTTACAGACCAAAGATAAACATTTTGTTTTGTTTTTTCAAAACAATTTCACATTCCACAAAGCTAATGATCTCCTATAAGAGGTAGAAATTAAGCAATTGAGCTTTCTACTTCACGTATTTAACCCACTCTCTCTTACAGAAGATAATCAGGTATCTAAATGAACACGACACATTTTTCCTTTCAGAGGAAAAGAAAAAACAATCTGAAATTATCCATTACAAATTAGAGAAGTGTTTGTAGAAATGCCATTGGCTTGAGTATAGTTATAAATATATTATTAGAAAATTAATTTGTTTTTCTAATAGCTTTATCACACTTTTGTATATGGTATCTATTATGTCCTGACAACAATTATTTTAACTTCATAAAAATTTAGCTACATTAATGACTATCCAAAAGAATGTGATTTTGTAATTAGTTTATTATCCCAATCAGTACCAAAATTATCCTCAACTTCTTTCTTGAAAAGAGCAACTATACCCTTCTTAACTGTTGAATCAAGATCCAAAGGTTCCTTTGGGTTCTTACTTGTTACAGCCATCTGGCCTGGTGTCAGAAGGGCCAACCACAGTGTCCATGAATGTTGCAACGTTGGAAAATCCTGCTGGCAGTTCATCCCATTCATCAAATTTGATGCCACTGCCCAAGGAGTAGGTGCCTTCTCCACACTTGCTGCATACCTGGTTCTTCATCTCTAGATACTCTCCAGAAGCACAGGAGAAAGCTGGAAGGCAGAAGAATGTATATCCCATTAGTCACCACTCCCCCATCAATTTCCTCCTCTTCACACTGTCACCAGAATTATTTTTATAAAACTCTGATCATGTCACATCCTAATTAAAGCTTTCCAAAGTCTCCCTTATCACTATTTATACTTCACAATCTGGCCCCAACCTGTTTACCAGGCCTATCCCTTACCCCACCCTTTTCCAACCAAAACAAAATTCATATCATTACCAAAATATTTCCTCTTTCTTGCTGCTGTGGTCTTCTTTCTCTAGAGATGCTGACAAAACCACCTACTTTATTTGGAAAACTCTCATTCCTAACTCAAAAATGACCCTCTTTATAAGAGATCTCCCTGCCCCATCAGGCAGTCAGTTTTGCCTCCCTCTGTGCTCCTGTAATACTCGTCTCATAATACACCCATGAAAGCTGTGTGAGTGTGTGTGTGTGTGTGTGTGTGTGTGTAGAGAGAGAGAGAGAGACACAGACACAGAATACATAGAGAGATTAGATATAAACACCACTTATCAGTTGATGTGAGGCTTTGAGCATCCAGAAAACAAAGATGATTGTTTTTGGATTCCTAATTGTAGCTGTCAGATACTAAGCCCAAATAAAAGGTTGATCGAGTGAATGAGAGTTAAAGACAAAGGGGATACTGAGGGCAGTGCTTCACATGCAACAGCTAAACAAGTATCTCCACTCTGGAACCATGACCCGTCTTTTTCAATGCACATAACTCCAACTTAGTCATTTCTACAACCTACATCTTATTACCGATGTCAAGTTCTCAGCTAATTCTGAAAACTACCCAAAAGTCATGGGCAATGTGACTAATAGTTGACACAGTTACAGAAAAGAAGACAGTGCTGCTGCTATTATTCATTCAACAAATGCAAATCTATGTCCCCTGAGTGCGTGGCTCTGTGCTCAGGGTGTTATTACTGACTCAACTGTAGCAAAGGGCTTTCTAATCCTTTAATCAGGATATTACAGAAACAAGAACAAAATAAAACCTTCAAGTCATCCGATGAAGAAAAACAAATCTCCCAGCAGAGAGCGAAGCAGCAAAGCCTCTCATTTAGGTAGATTCTTTTAGAATACATTTGGAAACTTACCAAAAAATAAAAACATGCTAATTTTGAAAAACTAAAGAAGTAGAGCTAAAACCCACACTCATCCACTTACTTAACCACTAAATAAGTGGATTTTTGTTTTCTTTCAGAAAAGCTTAAGACACTATACAATGACTTCTAACTCTAAGGTCAACATACCCAAATTAGTAAAATATCAGAAAATAAGGTTAGGTAAAGAATATTGCATGCTGGCCACAAGGTGAAAACGAGGGACCAGCCCTGGCTGGTATGCCTTAGTGGTTGAACACTGTTGTATTGTTTCAGGTTCAAGTCCCAGTCAGGGCACATGCCAGGGTTGCAGGCTCAGTCCCCAGTAGGGGGTGTGCAGGAGGCAGCCAATTGATATTTCTCTTTCACATCGTTGTTTCTCTCTCTCTTTCCCTCTCTCTCTAAAATCAAGAAAAAACATATTTTAAAAAAACCCACAAGGGACCAGGCTGTACCATTTCCTAAGTCTGTGACCTTGAATGAGTTACTTCACCTCTTCAGGCTTTAGTTCTTACCTGTGAAAAATGAGGTAATAATCATAGTATTGCCTCATAGGGCTATACTAAGAAAATAAAATATAGTATAAAGTAGGTAGCACAGTGCCTAGCATTTAATAAATGCTCACTACGTGCAATTATTATCACTACCAGTACTACCAACAGAGAAACATAGTTATAATTTTTTTATTTTTTTTTACTTTCTATGGTTTGCAGGTCTTCTAGTAAACTGATAAATAATATAATAAACCAAAAGCCAAAGTTACACCAAATTAAGGATCAGCAAACTACAGCTCACAAGCCAAATCCTTCCGGGGCCAATGTCTGCAAATAAAGTTTTATTGAAACACAATCACAACCACTCATTTACGCATTCATTCTATTCCACAACTGCAAAGTTGAATAGCTATGATAGAGACTATATCATCTGCTAAGCTGAAAATATTTACTTTCTGATAAAATAAAGTTATTTTGGAAGACAGTTTAGTCCAGTGTCCAAAACCAAACTTTTAATTAGAAGTAATATTTTATGATGAGTTGTCAAAAGGGACTCTCTAAGCTAAAAAGAAGATTGTGTTTGTGTTATTTCAGTGTTCATTGCCCTGTTAAAATAATTAATAACATCCCCAACTCTTTCAGAGGTGTTTCCTTATCTAAGACCAACAGGAAAACTGAGAAGTTGAAAGAAAATGTATTGAGTATTTATTACAGAGCCAATTCTTTTTATTTGTGGTAGTTGTATAAAGTTGTGAACACTGAATGAGTGAATACTAAACCGTGCTCCTAGGGAGAACACAGGGTTAGGCTCCTGTAAACCTATGGTCAATATCTTTGTTAATAGATCGATACATAACCTTGTTTTATGTGTGTTCAGTTAAAAAACATCTTATTTAATATATTGTCAATTCATTAACTTTGAACTTCTGGCCAAGAGCAGCACAACTCATGTTTGAACTAAGCTTATTTAACACATGCATTTTCTCACAAAGCACATTACAGCCTTCATTCACTGAGGATCACTAGCCAGCACTTCAGCACTCCTTTTTTTTTTTAAATATATCTTTATTGATTTCAGAAAGAGAGGAGAGAGAGAGAGTTAAAACATCAATGATGAGAGAGTTGTCATTGATTGGCTGCCTCCTGCATGCCCCCCAAATGGGATGAAGCCCGCAACCAGGCATGTGCCCTGACTGGGAATCGAACCGCGATCTCCTGGATCCTAGGTGGATGCTAAACCTCTGAGCCATACCCGGCTGGGCTCAGCACTCTTTTAAACAGTGAAATCACAATAAAAAGCACAGAATTGCAAAAAAACATGACATTAAATAGATAGTGAATGGGACACTTGTTAACAATATGAGGAATGAAACACAAAGGCAGAATGTCACCTTGTTCAACCTAAGCTGGGACTCAAATTTTTATGCTCTGCACATATCTGCAATCAACTATGAAAGTATTATGTGTATTGATTAGGGGGTTACAAATAACATTTATAAAGTAGGTGAATTTGCGAATATGGAATCCATGAATAATGCAGATGGATGTATTTATAATAGACTTGTGAAGGAGGAAGATATTACATTATGCCCATTTACCAAATGAGGAAACTGAGGCACAGTACATTTAAATAACCTGTTTAGAAAGGTACCAAGTTACCAAGTGGCAAAGGTGATATGATGTCCCAAGAAAATTCAGTTTGAGCAGTTACTGTAATCAGTGCAAAAAGGGCAAGCAATTCCAAATGAATTCATTATTATATTTCACATAATTCTTCATTTCCTGTCTTGAACTGGTAAACAATGTTCATGTGTGTTATAAAGCAATAACCATTTCCCACCCTCATATTTCTTGTGGAATTTTTAATATATCATACCTAAAACACATATTCATGAAATATTTTAGCGAGTTACTAACTTCCACTAATCTCAATGTCCTTGTCTGTAAATAAAAAATAGTAATAATATCTATTTCAAAATGTTGTTTTGGGAATAAGCAAGATAGTCCACATAAAGCATTTAGCAGTGGGCCTGGCATAAAGCACACAAAAAATGTTAGCTACAATTTTTAATAATATAATAATTCAGGGGCCTAGGATAATAAGAATTCTGCTGTTAGACTGGTGATTTTACATCTCCTCAGAATAATTACGTAGTCAAAGCTAGTCAAATGAGTTCAGGGTCTGTAATAATACAGGGAGCTTAAAGAGTGTAAAGCATTTTATATTCTAATCATTTGCTATTCCTCAGTGTGTTTTTTCCATCCTGGAATTCAGCTCTACAGTCACAGGTCAAAGGAAGAAAAGAGCCACACTTTCTTGTTAAACACAATCTACTCGGTGAGATTATGTCAACAGCACTGTTAACCTCTCCGGCAGTCGCCAACAATGACCAGTTTTTCCTTTTCTGGTACCTTCTTTCTTAGCCACATCCACTTTCTACTTCAACAATGCTTTCTTTTTCTTTGGTTTTCGGTTGGATTTTAAGGGTTTTTATAATCTTAGGGAACTGCACTCTTTTCATTCAGATTTATTTGAGTACAACATAGGACCCTTTCAACAAAAGTGGAACTATAGAGGGTTATTGTAAATAGCTGTTGTAAATGTGAATTGACTATATTTAATTTTAACAATTGGTCATTTCTAAAATAAACACTATTTTTCTTCAATAACCTTGAAATCCTAGAATAACTGAATTGAAGATAAGCAAACTCCAAAGTTCTGATCTGAGAACAGAAAGACCTAAAGTGCATGAGCTAACACACACTACTTAGCAGTGGGCTCAATGTGGGATTTCATGGTATTTTACCTAATCATCAGACCTCTTGAAGTCCAAACTGCAACCAAGAGGTCATACGCTAAACTCAGCATTCTTTTTCTCTGCTCTCGCCTCTTCTTTTCTGACATCTATTTTTACTACTGTGAATTGGTAAAGATTGCAGTATGCAGGTATGAAGAATCAGATATGGAAAAAATCCATTTATAATCGTATGTCACCAACCAGCAAACGGCTGGAACGCCCCTCTGGGCCCCCATTCACTCACCACTTCCCCTTCCTCCCTCATAGGACTGCTGATGGGCCAATGAGACAACATGGAAACTACTCTGAAAGTAAAAAGAGATGAAAATCTAAAGCATTACTATGATCATGTAACCACCCAGTATAATGTACCAAATCATGGCTACTAAACTAAATCATGTATGCTTAACTATAAAAAATATCCATTTTTACTCTTTTACCACAAGGGCCTCTTAGTTTTGCTTTTTCTTCCCCCACAGACCTCATGCTTTGAAAGGTGACCGCTATCAATTACATTTATTCATAACACATCCATTTCCCGTTTAATTCAAAGTTATTCCTGAAATTTGTTTTTTAAACAGT